AGAGAGAGAGAGAGGGGAGGGAGAAAAAGAAAGGAGAAAGTATGACAGAAAGTTAAAAGACTGACAGAAAAATAAAAGATAAAAAATGGACAGGAGTACCAAAGACCCCAAGGAAAAAAGCATGGAAGAGAGAAACAAAGGCAATATAATAAACTCTAGCGAAAGGCTACAGACGGCTCTTTCCTTTTACTTCACCCTCTGGGGGAAGAATGCATTAATGTGAGTGAGCGTACGACTTACCTAGAATAAGGTTGAGTTTGGAATCTGTCTGGAAGGCGTAGTGAAGGGTGACCAGGAACGGCGATTGTCTGGGGAGGAGGAACGAGGTCAAGGCTTGTTAGTTTCAGCAAAGAGAAGAGAACAGAAATAAATATATAATGCAGGGTGTCGGTGGTCTAGTGGTAAGGTTATCCGACTCGTAATCGTGAGATTGCGGGTTCATGGTTTTCTTTACTTTACTTTACTTTTAGTAGAGGTTTTATGGCGCTCGCAACAGCATAAGGTCATATGAGTGCCGACGATTAGAGGTGTTACAAGAGAGTAACTAACAGAAAAAAGGAGGATGAGAGATCAGGACGATATATGTTTGATAGGAAAGAAAGAGCAAACCACACCAGAGCACCCGCCAACCACCCACTCATGGTTTTCGAGGTTCAACGTCCCGTCGTGTCCTTGAGAACGGCACTGTACGCGAATTTTCCTAATCATTTGGCTCGGTTCTATCGTAGACGGATGTTAAATTCGTAGGTCCAGTCTCTTAAAGGACCATACCAAAGAATATCTGACCACAGAGCGTTGCAAGGTGAGATAAACTTAAAACAGTTCATGTCAGACAATGCTAAAAGACCTGAAGCTTATTTTTTTTTTTAAAGAGGTCGTGGAATCTGGCTGCAGACATATCTCATTGGTCATGGCGTCTAAAGATGTGGGAGTCTTTGTTTTTTGGGGGTTTTGATTGTGTTTTACGGCGCTCGCAACTGCATAGGTCATATTATTATGCGCGCACGGGACACATTATTGCGCATGTTCAGCTTGGTAGTAATTCATTTTGAATTTTGCTCGGGTGGCGGCCGATTAAGCCTATACTTTTATCGATTTTAGGACCACCAAGCTTTGTTTTGTTTGCGTAAAGAGAAGCACATCGACACAATAACGGACATCGAGTACATCCATCTAGTAAGGCACATCGAATCAAAAGAGGGAAAGAAAAGAACTAGGACCTACCAGTGGCGCCCTTCAACCAACCGCTTGGGAGTCTCTAATTAAATCTACTACGTTAGTAAAAGGAAGTACACCGACGCGGAAACGACCAATTCAAACAAAGGGAAAAAGCAAGACAGACAGAAACACAGAGTGGAAGAAAAGAAGAAGGACCCACTACATCAACCACCCACGACCAAAGCGATACTTAGTAAAAGTAAGAGACCGTCATAAAAAAGTGGGGAGGGGGGATAGGTGGAAAAGAAAGGGGAAAAAAAGGGGGGGCGGGGTAGAGACAAGAAAGAAACGCAATGAGGAGTAAGGAGAACCATTTGTGCACAATAACGATTATTCATTTAGTGTTAGGAATAGGAACAAACAAAACAACCCCCTCCAAAAACAAAACAACAACAACAAACAAACAAACAAAACAAAGCAACAACAACTCCTCCCTCCACAAACCCACCAACAGACAGACAGGAACAACTCAACAGCAAAGGGAAATAAAAGA